AGGCCCAGAGTTCAAGCCCCACGACCGACAAAAAAAAAAAAAAATTCTTCAATATGGATTTATGCGCTTTTGAAGGAGACATGTTACCTTTTTTATTCATGAATCTAGTGATTTTTTTTGCTGGGATTTATGTGTCTGGGACCAAAATTACATGGCAATTTCAGTCTCCTGTGTCCTTTTAGTTGGTGATTTCTTGCAAATTATTTAAGACTGAGTAATGGCTGGATTGTGGTACATTTTCTTAAAGTAGTGGGTCTCAGTTGTCAAGATAATTTTGTTAGGTGCCGGTGGCTCATGCTTGGTGAGTTAAATGTAATATGTAACCTATGTTATATGTTAAGTACCTATGGACCTCATATCTATTCACTTTATCAGGAAAAAGGTTAGGCACCAATAATGGTTCATGCCTGTAATCCTAATTGGTCAAGAGGCTAAGATCTGAGGACTGAGGTTAGAAGCCAGCCCAGGCAGAAAAGTCTGTGAGATTCTTATCTTCAGTTAACTACCAAAACTCCAGAAGTGGAACTATGGCTCAAGTGGTAGAATGTTAAACTTGAGCACAAAGACTCAGGAACAGTACCCAGGCCCTGAGTATAAGCTCTAGGATGGCATCGAAATACAACAACAACAAAATCATTTCAATGTTCAAGACAGTGTCCACATTGGTTAAGGAATCTTGGCTACAAAAGCTACTGCAGTTGATAAACCATAATCCCTAATGAAACTAGTCACCACTACCATCCCAATATCCTCAAATGAATACGTAAGACCTTAGTGTGGCAATAGGAAGGAGAGCATAAGGGTAGGACTAATAAATAGTATTATAAAGGGTTATACAGAGGTTAGATAAAGAAGGGGTGAGAGTTAAATCTAATAGACAGGCTAATGAGAAAGTGATCTAAAGTAGAAGCAGTTGTATAGGGTAGGGAAAGGAGACTAAGGAAAATTGAATAACCCTACACATATATGCAGCATATACACACAACAACATACATACACAACAAAAAAAGAGAAAACAACCAAGGCAAAATTCAAAACAACATATAAAACAAATAAAATGAAAATACTAATGAGGTTTATGTTATTAGGGGACCTGGTATGAGTGTAGGAAATGAGGACAGATTGGGAATGGGGAGCAGAAGCAGAAGGGAATATGAGCAAGAGAATAATTTTACTTTTAGAATGAATACATAAATGGGTAAGGGCTATAGAAAGGGGACAGTATATATATTTTTTCTTGTTGGTCATGGGGCTTGAACTCAGGGCCTGGGCATTCCGGAGCTTTTATGCTCAAGGCATATGCTCTATCACTTTGAGCCACAGTGACACTTACGTTTTTCTGGGGGTTAACTGGAGATAAGAATCTCATGGAGTTTCCTGCCCTGGCTGGTTTCAAACTGCAATCCTCAGATCTCAGCATCCTGAGTAGCTATGATTACAGGCATGAGCCACTGGCACCCAGGTTACAAGAATAATTTTTAAAATTGAACACTCAAAGATAGGAGGTATGATTCACATATGATGGCCTAAAGTTAAAGGAGTAGAGGGAGCAGCAGAATCAAAAAGTAAATAGGAGTGGAAGAATGTCCTATATTAAAGAGTAAAAACTAAAAAAAGTTTTGGTCTATATCATATACACAGATAAAGATCCATGCCTGTAATCCTAGCTATTTAGAAGGCTGAAATCTGAGGTTGCAGATCGAAGCCAGTCTAGGCAAGACTGAAAAATACGAATGAGACTCATCACCAATTAACCATCAGAAAACCATAAGTGGTAGAGCACTAGCATTCAGCAGAAGAGCTCAGGGACAGTGCTCAGGCCCTGAGTTCAAGTTCCAAATAAATAAAACAAATATAACAACCTTAAATCTTAAACATCAACAAAAACAAGGGAACTTTTCTCTTTTTTCAATCAGTCATGGGGCCTGAACTCTGGGCCTGGGTGCTGTCCCTCAGCTCTTCAGTTCAAGGCAAGCTCCCTACCACTTGAGCCACAGTGCCACTTCCAGTTTTCTGGTGGTTTATTGGAGTTAAGAGTCTTACAGACTTTCCTGCCCAGGCTGGCTTTGAACTGTGATCCTCAGATTTCAGCCTCCTGAGTAGCTAGGATTAACAAGCTAACAAAGGGACTTATATATACAACATATGAATTTTCAATTATTCTTTGTGTCTTATATACCTTTTTTCAGGGTACAGGAGGCTGTGAGAGAACACAAATTTTCCATGTGGGTTAGAGGGCTGTCTCATCAGCAGTCAGCTCATAGTCCAAGGGCAGAACTGGACAATGGGTACTTCACAGGAGGCTGTCCTCAACTGATTTATTTCCTATTACATACCTTCAGGGTCCCAGTTGCTTCTAAGGAATCCTTGCTTGTGTAATCCTGTAGTAAACTGTCCCTGCCTCTGACTTCTCAGCATCTTTTATTGACAACCTCTGTTGGTTCTAAGACCACAGAAGTTCCTAGACTTTCAAATATCCCAGATATGGCTCAGTTCCAGAGTCTGCCTGACCACAAGTTGATTGTATTCAGTTAGTGTAAGCAGATTCCATGCTGTTTACCAAGGAACACACCAGTAAATTTTCTGAAATTTCCCAGGAAATAAACTTGCTGGGTGTGCTGTGGTGTGCCACGATCAAAGCTTGCCCACCAGCAATCACTTAAATTCATCTCTCAGTAATTTTAGCTCTCTACTAGCATATGTTAGTATCTCCTTTGCAAGTGCTAAGTCTTGTAGGTACTCTAAACAAAAGAATAGTTAGACTAGGACTATGAAGCTCTCACTGAGGAAGGAATCTACATTCTCTAAATGGGCTCCTTGGATACTGACTGGGTGTAGCAGATATTACTGATCATCAAAAATTTGTTTCCAACCCTCTAAGTGTGTTTTGGTCTCATATAATGGATAGATGCAGGCTATGCAGGCTGCTAATAATCTTATAGCCTGACAGCTGAGTTTCAAACAGAAGGCCTACTCATAAGTTGTCATCCTGGGGAAGTTACTAGCTGCCAAAACCCCAGACTGGATGTGTGCAAGGAAATGGGAAGAGGAGGGGGGAGGGGGAGGAGAGGGAGAGGGAGAGGGAGAGGGACTTCCCACAGACAGATCTACTAGTCTATCAAAGAAGTTGCCTCCCCTCCCTGCCAGAGTTGGAGCTGCTATCTCTGCTAATGAGTAAGGACAATTATCAAAGTTGTCCCATTTCTCTTTTGTGGTTCTCGGTATTCTCCTTTAGGTTCGTTTTTTCCAAATATAGCCTATCCTTTTTCAGATATATATAATTGCTTAGTGGTAAGATAAATAATATGAAGCAAATGACATAATTTTCTGAATTGGCAAAAGACACATATATATATACTAAGAGAAGACAAAGAGCTCACTGGTAGAGCACTTGCTTCACAAGTCCCTAGGTCCAATCTCCAGAATGAGAAGCAAAACAAAAGCAGCCAAAAAAAGGAAGCAAGAAGTAATAAGAAGCCACTGTATTTCTATAAATATTTTTAATCACTTTTTTTTGGTGGAGAGTTAGTCTCGGGGCTTGATCTCAGGGCCTGGGCACTGTCCCTGAGATTTTCAGCTCAAGGCTAGTACTTTACCACTTGAGCCATAGCATCATTTCCAGTTTTCTAGTGGTTAATTGGACACAAAAGTCTCACAAAATTTCCACCCGGGAAGAAGAGATCCTCAGATCTCTTCTTCTGAAAAGCTAGGACTACAGGTGTGAGCCACCAGCGCCAGGCAATTTTTTTTTTTTTCAAGTCACTACTTCCAACAGAACAATCATACTTTGTGCTTATTTCCAGAGAACAATATAATGAGATCAAGAACTTTAATTTATGCATTTGAAGGAAATTTTTTCTATATTGAAAAGGACTATTAGTTGTTTGGTTATTATACTTACTGATTTCATAAGGGTTGATGGTCAGCTTTTTGTGGGTTCTCTTTAGCTGCTTGAGAATACCAGCAACAGCTGAGATAGCCATCTAGAAAACAAGTAATGCATGTATATCAAAAATTTTAAATTTCTTAATGACTGACTGCTTTATCAACAGAAGTTGCTTTCCATTTCTTTCAAAAACAACTCCCTCTGGAAATGGGGCTGTGGCTCAAAGTGATAAAATACTAGCATTGGGCTGAAAAACCTCGGGGTCAAGACCTGATTTCAAGCCCTATGACTAACCAAAAAAAAAAATTCTTGGGGGAAAATTAATCTCCTAATAATCTTGGCGAGGTACTGGTGGCTCACACCTGTAATCCTAACTAGCTGTTCAGAGGCTGAGATCTGAGGATCATAGATCAAAACCAGCTGAGGCAGGAAAGTCCGTGAGACTCTTTTCTTTGGCCAGTCCTGGTGCTTGAACTCAGCAGCTAGGCATTTCCCCATAGCTTTTTTTGCTTAAGGCTAGCACTCTACCACTTGAGCCACAGCATCATTGCCACTTTTTCTGCTTATGTGGTACTGTGGAATTGAACCCGGGATTCATGCAATTTAGGCAAGCATTCTACCATTAAGCTACATTCCCTGCCCAGTCTGTCAGACTCTTACCTCCAAATCACCACCAGAGAAAACCAGAAGAGACACTGTGGCTCGAAGTGGTAGACAACTTAGCCTTGAGCAAAAGATCTCAGGGACAGTGCCCAGGCTCTGAGTTGAAGCCCCATGACCAACAAACAAACACATTATATATAATTATAACCCCTCTGTAACACCTTAACAATAAAATTAAAATAAATAAAAGAAAAAAGGATATATGTAACAGGAAGGAAGTTATAGCAGCTTCTACTCTTGATTATTCTGTGTTCATCTCAGTCAAAACAAATCTGATCTCTTCTTATTTTAATTAATTCCTGGTTCACTCCTCACCTATCAGCCTCAGAGTCTATGTAAGAAATTTTCTCTGGGGCTGGGAAGGTGGCTCAGTGGTAGAGTGCTTGCCTTGCATGCATGAGGCCCTGGGTTCGATTCCTCAGCACCACATAAACAGAAAAGGCCAGAAGTGGCACTGTGACTCAAGAGGTAGAGTGCTAACCTTGAGCTGAAGAGCTCAGGGACAGCGCCCAAGCCTAGAGTTCAAGCCCCACGACTGATGAAAAAAAAATTTTTTTTTGCTCCAACTTATCAGTCAAAACAATCACTTTTCTTTTTTTTCTTTTGTCAATCATGGGGCCTGAACTCTGGGCCTGGGCACTGTCCCTCAGCTCTTCAGCTCAAGGCTAGCGCTCTACCACCTGAGCTACAGTGCCACTTCCAGCTTTTTCTGCTTATGTGGTGCTGAGGAATTGAGCCCAGGGCCTCATGCATGTGAGGCAAGCACTCTACCATTGAGCCACCCTCCCAGCCCCACAAGCACCTTTCTTACAGTTCCCTTTTAAGACTTGAGAAGAAAATCAAAAGCTGCACAACCTATCTTGAAACTGTATGTCTGATTTCTAATTTTTCAAGATCAATATTCCCTGGGTCTGGGTCTACTTTCAATATTAAAATTCACAAAGCCTGAATTTGCCTTCATATTTTTGTTGAATTGTTATTGTCTCTGCATAGGAGGAAATTTCAAATTAATATAGCCCAAGGTGTTGATTAGGGAATATACTGTTTCTGAAGAAGTTACATACCTCTAGTGAGGTAAATATTCTCGAACCTAAGACAGCTGCTAAAATAGAAGTATTTACCTTTCGAACTACAATTGCATCATGGTTGAGATTCTCAACAAAAAATCGTATGGCACGAAGAGGTAACACTCGATCATCTCTTAAAAGTAGAGACAGGAGTCCAATGCCTATATGCTCAAATTTCCAAGGCCTGAAAAAGAGGGGTAAAAGTCACAAATCCTATTGCTCATAAAATAACTTAAAAGCCTGTATTTGAAACAAATTTTAAGTTTCTCAAGAATTAAAATATGTCTTTCAAAGGACACTGCTCTTATCTTCTCAAGCTCTCCCAGAGTCTTTAACACAAAAAGTATAAATTCCTTTCTTTTTTTTTTTTTCTGTCTGCCAGTCCTGGGGCTTGAACTCTGGGCCTGAGTCACACCCTTGAGCTTCTTTTGCTCAAGACTAGCACTCTACCACTAGAGCCAAAGTGTCACTTCCAGCCTTTTCTGTTTATGTGATACTAAGGAATGGAACACAGGGCTTCATGAATACCAGGCAAGCACCCTACTACTAAGCCACGTTGCCAGCCCACCAAAGTATAAATTTCTATAAGTCATTATAGCCTTCCTAAGTAGAAAACTTCTATAACATTTAAAAATATGCTCTGAAGTTTAAAATAACTTTTAAACTTACAGATTTCTTTGCTCCACACCATCCAGCAAAGCATTTACCAGATTTTCATAGTTCCTTAAAAAAAAAACAAATTTGAGAAATAGTTTTACTATAATACTATGACAAATATCAAATAATGTAATATAAATTCAAATTCCAGTCAAATTTACTCTGAATTACCAGAGTAAAAAGCCCTAGTAAGGAGCAAGCTAGAAAGAACATAGATATGTAACCAAAGACTGGGAAACGAACAAGAAAGAGTAGGTATAGCAAGCAACTCAACAGTTTCTAAGTAGGCATTCAAAAGTAAAAAGAAAAATATTAAAATACATTCTTATTTATAAAGACATTTGGAAAATAAGTTTGACAGGGGAGCCTGGTACTTATAGACTGCTGAGCACTCAAGAGGAGGAGGCAGGATGAACGCTTCAGCCCAGTAGTCATAGGCCAGTACAGACAGTGTAGTAAAACCTGGTCATAAACAAGCCAGCCTCCAGGAAAGACATTTTAGAAGTGAGGCATAGGTGGCTTACGCCTGTAATCCTAGTTAGTCAGGTGGCTGAGATCTGAGGATCACGGTTCAAAACCAGCCTAGGCAGGAAAGTCTGTAAGACTCTCATTTCCAATAGAAAGTCAGAAGTGGCACTGTGGCTCAAGTGGAAGACCATTAGTCTTGAGCAGAGAGAGAATCAAGGACAGTGCTCAGGACCTGAGTTCAAGCCCCAGGACAAGTTTAAAAAACCTACAACAACAACAAAAGATATATCAGAAAACACTAAGTGGCCAAAATCATATAGTAAAGCAATAGTCAATAAGGCAAAACCAAAACTGAATTAGGAAGGCTTCTACTGGAATATCAGCACTAAATTGCTTTGTTCCTTAAAAACATGAAAACAGTTTAACTAATACTTTGGTAACAAATCTGAGAGGTCATAATGATAAGTTATATGTGATATAAAGTGATATGTGTTGAACCTGAATGTAGAATTCAATGTCTGAGATATATCAGTTATACTGTCTGATGTGTTACTATCTAAAAATATCAAACACAACTCACATTGAAAAAAGATACAATAATTAAGTGAAGTAAGCCAAGCCCAAAGAAACATAGGTCCCATGGTTTCCCTTATTTGCAATATCTAGTGTATGTATGAGTCAAGCAGAAAAGCTCAGATAATGTGATGTTAGGAAAATGAACCCTTAGATATGTATTTTAATGTTTTTTTTCTTTCATGCATTTGTTTCTAACACATTTATAAGATTA